TGTAAATTTTCACGATGTCTGTAAATGTTATGGCAGTAGAATAAAAGTCTTATAATGTTGTTGTGAATGTTCTGTAGTAAATTGGTGAAATTTTGTTTCGGTGAATTTTTGTGTAAATTCCGTATACTGCCGTTATGCCGCCGGATTTTCGTACGATTTCTGAAATTGTCCGGATTTGTTCTGAAATGACATGCAATGCTTGTGTGCTATGAAAAGGGAGTTATAAGGGGTCAGGATCCTGTGAGATCCTGTCTGTGTCAGGGAAAAATCTGAAATGAGCTCTGAAATCTGTTTCTGAATACAAGTTTCGGATCCGATGATAAGTTCTGTTCTGGTGCTATAAGCATATATGTTCTGGTGCCATGAGCACAAAGGGAGGCATAAGGGGCCAGAATCCGAGAGATTCTGTCAGTGTCTGGGAAGGGAGGCATAAGGGGCCAGAATCCGTTGAGATTTTGTCAGGGTCAGGGAATCTGTTCTGCTTTAATCTGTTCTGATTTAATCTGTTCTGACTTTTGATATGTTCTGAATTGATATGATTTCTGATTTTCGTACGATATAAATTGATCTGATCTGTATTCTGATTCTGATATACGATTCTGTCTGTTCTGATATGACTTCTGATCTGATATGATTTACTCTGATATCTGATTTCTGATTTCTGTATGTTCTGTCAATTCCGTATTCTGATTTCTATTCGGATTTCTGTCTGATGGGTTTGTTGTGGACTCTGAGGATTTTGATTGGAGGTTTGTTGTCTTGCTGAGCTGTTGTAGCTCATCCTTGTTTTCTGCGTGGTTTTCAGGTTCAGGTTCTGGGAAGGGGAAGGAAGTCCAGGAATAGAAGTTCAGAGTCTGATTCCGTTTAGGTATTTTGTCCTTTTGATTTTTGTACAGTCATAGCTTTTCTGTTCTGTTTTTCTTTCTGTCTGAAAGCCATGAGCTGTATTTGTACATGATTCTTTTGAGAAAGAAAAAGATAGATGATCTGTTCCATTGCATTTGATGTTTATAGTAGCTCTGTGTGCGTCTGTTTCTGTCTGTATGTTTGGAAGAAAGTTCTGAAACAAATTCCAAAGCCAGATCCTGGAATCAGTTCAATCAGTCTGAAAGTTCCGGCCTCACGACCCGATGCGAGCGGGACCCGTCCCGGTCGGGTTGGGTCGTGACAGCTGCCCCCTTTCACCGCTTCTATTTGCCATTGTTATGGATGCTTTTTCATGCTCTATGGATTCTATCTCCTTTTTGGGGATCCCTCTTGGGCAAACCTCTCTCAATCACCTTCTTTATGCTGATGATGTTTTGATTTTTGGGATGGCTTATATCCCCGTTGCTATTGAGCTTTCCAAAATTTTAAGTAACTTTGCAAAGGCATCGGGTCTGCATATTAACAATAATAAGTGCTCCATCCTCTTCTCTAAAAACCTTACTATTGCAAATGACATCATTGATATCCTTGGTTTCTCCACCATTGAGCACACCTTCAAGTACTTGGGGTTGCCTATCTCCACCAAAAAGTTTAATTCTTCTCACTTCCAACCACTCCTGAGTAGAATTTCTACTCTACTTGCTGGTTGGAAAGTAAAATTCCTTTCTTTTGCAAGTTGAGTTCAATTCTTGAGGTTCACCATTGCTAACACTATCACATAATGGATTAGGGATGCTATAATACCCAAAGCCTGTTGCAAACTTATGGATAGGATGTGCTCTAGATTTCTTTTTCATGGCTCTAAAGAGGGAAAGAAGTTACACTTGATTGCTTAGCATGACACTTGCTTACCAACTTGCTTTGAGGGTCTTGGTATCCCTGACTTGCTCTCTCTCACTCATGGGTTTACCTGCTCATTTATTTTGAGATTTTATAACTCAACTTCTCTAGTTTTTGACTGGTTCAGGCTTAAATTTTTTTCCTCCTTTAAACATGTTCCTTATAAAAGGTCTAAGTTTTGGAAGAACATATGTGGGGTTGCTAGAAAGATTAAAGGGCATATTGGGATTTCGGTTAATGCTGAGAATTGTAGAAGGCTTTCATTTTATTGGGATCCCTGGTTAAAAGGCACTCCTCTGACTGATATTATTCCCCCCTCCCCTGTTCTTCTTGGGTCCATATCTAGGTACTGGAATCTTGTATGGTTATTGCCTGATCTTCTACCTCTTGAGATTCAGTACATTATCATGGCTACACCTGTGGTGGATACATTTGATGAGACCATTATTTGGAATGGAATTGCTAAATCTAGCTTTAAAGATTTTAGATTGAATTTCTTTGAAGGAAGGCACAAAGTAAATCGGTATCAATTCATTTGGCATAAACGTGCTGCCCTCAGATTCTCCTCTTATACTTAGCTTTTAGTTCGTGGTGGTTTAAAAATGGCTGGCAATCTTGCTCGGAGAAACATCTTTATTGATGCCATTTGCCCCCTTTGCCTTCTGGGGGAGGAATTTGGTTCTCACGTTTTTTTCCAATGCAACTATTCTTTTACTAGTATCACTCATCTTTTGTCTGTGTTGGAATCCTTTTTGTTTAGACCTACTCTACTGGCATAATTGTCATGCACAACAATTTGTAAAGTGCCTTTCCATTAACAAACCAATATTAAAAAAAAAAATTATGCCAGCAATTTACTGTGTGGGTTCCTCGACGCTGCGTACCTGAGAGGCCCAATGTTGTGTTCCCGAGTACCCTAGTGCTGCATGACTGAGAGCAAAGTGCTACAACGACATAGATGCAACGTTGTTGCAGATCAAGACAATGGTTCAAACGCCGCAACATTGCAAAACGAATTTGATGGTTTTCTTTCTCGTTTTTCTAAAGGTTTGCATCCTTTAGGGTTATTTTACTTAACTTTCTTTTATATTTTAAATGTATAGACATTGAGAATAGTACATTTAAGAACAGAAGCAAGGAGAGATTGAGAGAGAAGATAGAACTATACTTTTTCTTCTAATTTTCATAGTTGATTTCTTAGTGTTATGTTCGCTGCTTTTACCTACTTGCTTGTTTCGTTATTCTGGTGTTTACTCCAAAAACTTCCCCAACAAAATTGAAGGATTAAATTGAAGAAATGTCATACCCTAGTACTATTTGGGCCACACATGAATAGTGAGATTATTTTGGAGTTTATCCCTCTTTTGATTCAAATTGTTTCCTAAAGAATAAATATAGCTATAAATCTAAAACACTTAATACTTTACCTAACAAAATAAAAGCAACAGTATCTCTAATGCTTTACCATCCATTGTTTCTCAAAAGCTACATAATTGTCTTGCACAATAATTTGTAAAGTGCCTTTCCATTAACAAACCAATATTACAAAAAAAATTATAACTATGCCAGCAATTAACTAGTAAAATGGGTAGCTTTATTTAACAAAAGTTTGAGATTACGCATTTACAAAGTTATATACAGTTTCAACTCAAAAGCTCAAGCCAATCCCTAAAACTTAGGAGCTGAGCAATTGTATAAATAGAAACTATATGATAATCAGACCTGTGCTTGCACTCCATGAGGAAGCAGAAGCCTTATGTCTTTGATGTGTCTTCAACTTTCTACAGAAAAATAATTAAAATTTCGTTTGGGACTACTTTTTTTCTGCTTCTTAAAGCAGCTTTCTAGTACAAAATTTTTAATTTTTGTATTAGAAAGCTGCTTTATGAAGCAGTAAGAAAGCCGTCCCAAACGAAGCCTAAATATGAGTAATTGGCTGCATCTGCTTTGTATATCACATTCCTATAGTGAATACAACTTCATACTATATCTTCTCTGCTACTTATCAAATGGTCATGTTGCTGGAGTTGAGGCTTCTGGGTTTCTAGAACTTTCTGCATTGCATAAGCACACCTGAAAACAATGGAAGCCAGTTGAGTGAATAAAATATAAAAAATGATGATTCTCAATTTGCTACAAATTTGTTTTCATATCAGAAGGTCATGTATCCATTAAATTGAAGAGAGTCAAAATAACAAATAAAGCAACCAGCTTTTGCGAGGAAATCCAGAAGCAGCCAAGGAGTTGGTAGCTATTGAGGCTTCGTTTCGGATGGTTTTTTTTACTGCTTTTTAAAATAACATTTTAGTGAAAAAAATTAATTTTTTACTAAAAAGTTGCTTTAAGAAGCAATAAGAAAGTCATCCCAAACGAAATCTGAAATCTGGATTTATGGGTCTGTGAGCCGTGGAGAAAGGAAAGTGGAGGTGTAACATGCATGAAAACAATATACATTTTTTTTTGGTTTTGAATAGGAAATTTGTACGCATAATTTCCTTCAAATTTCAGTCAACTTGTAAGAAATTTAATATTGGAAATATCTATAACCTGTGGTAATTAACATGATGAAGGATTAATGAAGTGTTTACCTCCATGGTAGATGATCAAGAAACATGTAAGGTGACACAACTATATCCTTGAAATTTTCCCTGTTTGCTACATAAGCTTTATGAGCTCCCTCCACTCCCTTGGGCATACAGATTGTCCAGATTGGTGCACGGTTTGTATGCTCATGAATTATATGAATGATCAAACCAGGAAGAAACATCTCTTTCAATTCTATAATTTCAGTAGATTGACTGGGATCATCAGCAGATAGAGATTCCTGAACACCAAGGGAAGTAGAATTGATATTTTCACCATAGAAAGGCCTTATTTGGAGGTCATCAAGGACCCTATCTTTTCGCATGCCAATATTGTAATCATAATCAGCCTCATCAAATGTAGAACACTCTACTGGTTGTTCTTGCTTAGGCTGGGTGACCTCTGAGTCTGATATTGAAGTTTCTCTAGAAGAAACTAAAGGTTCTAATGGAGTTCCAGTTATGACATTTGAACCATGTTGATGGATAGGAGTATTTGTCATGCAAGAAACTGCGAGGCCACACAGAAAAAACCCACCTTGAATGGAGTATTTTGCAGGTCTTCGATGAAGATGATTTCCATTTTCTACTGTTTGAGGGTTGACATCACTAGAAGGAGAGGAAGACGAATGGTTTTCCCCATTAACAAGGTGTTTTCGAACATTTAGAATTTTTTGAGCAAGCTTAGTAATAACAGCAGAATTAGCTGATGCGTCGGCTGAAAGAGCCTGTATAGCAGCTGCACGGAGTCTAAGGATTGAATTAACTGAGAGTCGTGAAGAAAATTCATCATTGTAGACAATTCTGCAGAAGTTTTAGAATGTTATAAAAAAAGGAACAAACTAACCAAACTGAACTAGAAGTCTTGTATTTAAACTTACGTAGTGACAAAATCTGAGCAAGCTTCTGCAATGACTGAATCAACGCATGGAAGAGTTCCATATGCATAAACATGTAAGTTTGGGTATCTCCCTTTCAACTGCAATAGAACCATTTTATAATGAGAAGTTTTTTAAGGCTCCAGGAAATGCAGATACATCGAGTCTTTTTATATTTTGTTTCTCTAATTTATTTTATAAAGAAATAGTATGACAATTTGTTCTTTAAATTTAAAAATTTGTACTAAAAACGGATCAAGTTAACTAAATATAATAATATAAGTAACTTATAATAAAATGGTGAAAATTAGTCTCACTGTAAGTGCTTCATACCCAATCTAAATGCTATTCATGGAAGTTTCGCAACACCTCGAAGCTGGATTTCCATTTCAACTAACTGACATCTAGCTTCCATTTCATATTTAATTATGATCAATTTTAATTTTGAATTAATTAAATAGTATGTGCCCCAAATGCATGTGGGTCGATTTAATTAAGTGCATTGCATATACAGTCGTACAGATCAAAGCTTAAACATGATATGATTGTACTATAGGACTGTAAGACTCTCAGATTAATATTTTATATTAGAAAAAAGGGAAAAATAGAAAAGAAAGAAATAAATAGTACCTTCTTTATAATAATTGAACTAAAACGTTAAGATTATAGATTAATTGTTGAATGACTATATCATTTTTCACATAAATTTCAATGTTAAAGAAGTAAATTGTTCATGGACGTCATAAAGTGTAGTAAAAATGCACTGAAGTGATGCATTTCTCAAGGCCAATAGATTTCATAGACAATTTAACTCTTATGGATTCAAGGGTTCTGACTGAACACCGAAGCACAACAGATAACTTATACCAATATAGCCTTACAAGAAACATAAGATGATTTGATAAAAAATTTCAATTCCAAACTTTGCTCAGGAAACCGAAATTTAATACTTGAAAATCAACGATAACAAAAATCTAATATCAAATAAATGGTAAGTGAAATTCAAAGGGTGAGAACAATTGCAATCTAATAATAACATCAACAAAGAACCTATATATTATCATGTGTAAAATTGCGTCATAACATGGAGAAATGATAAAAATAAAAATGAAAATGGATTCAAAATTTTGTTCAAGCAACAAAATCCTCAACCTCAACTTGTAGGTTGAATCATACATCAATTAAACTCAAACAGAAAGAAAACTATAGATCAACGGAACATAAATGAATTGTTTTCAGCAAAATGTTTATTTTCTAAAAAACTCAATCTACAAGTCCTGATTACAATAAAAAAATTAAGTTGGGTGCATAAAGAGAACCCGGCAAGAAAAATAATAAAATCAATTATATGAGAGCATATATTACAAAAACCTTTTTTTGGGATGCAGACAAGACGCTTTGCATAAAACTAGTGAAACAAATCAAACGTATAAGAAAAGGATGATAAAGTATTTAGCTGAAAACATTTTTTTATTCCTTTAGTTCTTAAGTGGTGATTATTGCGAATTCCAACTTCTGTAAACTGCAAAACCCTGGAGATTTTGGTATTATAATATATTAAATGTTATATCAATGATTGACTGAGAAATGTTTTTTTTAATTCCAAAGATTCAAAAAACCAAAGCCATGTGGATAAATCTAATAATGAAAAACACTATAATATTTGAATATTATCATGCCTTTGTAGAGATCCATGCTACTGATCATTGAAAATGATCACATTCAAATCATTTAGGAAGAAACATTAGCAAGAATTACAATGCCATAATATTTGAAGAAGACTATTGCTCTGGGTAACATCTTTAGAATCTAAACTAAACTTTAAAAGTTTTGTCAAATCCAAAATTGACCGGTGCAATCTAACTAAACCAAACATAAGACTGCAAGCACAATTGAGATGGCAAGGAGGATAAATTTGAGTTTTGATCCATTTGATCTCTCAAAAGAATTATTACTTACTAACCTGGAACAAGAGAACCAGCGTGAAACACGTGAGCTTCAACATAGAAATAGAGAGAACCCAAAAATTATGGATTGTTTAGTAAGGCATGTGCTTCTGTTTCAGACTATGTGCCTAGTTTGACGTGTAATTAAAGGCTAAGCTTTGCATCCTTTGTGCTTGACATTTGACCTCCTATTCATAGACAAGGATCAACCTAGCGTAGTAAAATGGGTAAGACAATTATAGTATTATATTATACAGATCCAGTCAGCAAGCAATAGTCGGGCGACTAATTACTTAGAAGTCAGCCTTAGACAAGGCTTGTTGTCAAATAAAGCATTATCTAAAATTGTGAAACATGAGGCTCGCCTTGAGGCCCACCTCAGCGCAATTCTGGTGAAAAACGCTTTGACGTTTACGCCTCAAGCTTTTTTTAGGCATGCGTCTCAGTTTGGCTGAGGGCCTGGCATAAGGCATTCGCCTCACCCCATATACATATATATATATATATATATATATAGCTATTATTTTCCTGCTAAAATCCTTAATTTTTCATTTACGCAATTCTGTGTTCGTGAGGCTTACGCCTCAGACCGCCTCGAGGCTTACGCCTCGCCTCACGGACGAAAACCGCCTCGAGGCGCAGTTACGCAATTTTAAACCTTGATAGCCATCACTATAGATCACTTGGAAGTCGCATACCACCACCATCTCCTCCTATAAAAATTTTGGAGTATTACTCTCATCTTTAAGTTGAGGAAAAATATTTATGAAATAAAAAGATGACTGAAATAAATGAAGAAGCAGATTGTGAGGCATTGGACTCTACAGGATGAGATAGGGAAGAGACCAATTTATTATAATGACTCAAATAAAGACGTCCTTAGAGATGATGGTGCAGATAATTTCAGAATTGCTGCAAACTATTTCAGCTTTCTTTAGGAATTAAATATAAATGAGTAGAAAATTGAGAAAGAAAGAATTAGATTTAAACTTAATGTTATATGATGGTATTCCTATATTTTATGTTGTTTAGCTCTTGTAATATTTGGAATTAAATTCTATTTCACACAATTTATCACGTATTATTTTACGTATTGTGTTATTTTTTATTTCATATGTATGTCACTTTGTTACTTTATAGTTCAATAGAAAGTTAATATGTCATCCTTTAATATATTATTTGGGTATTATATAAAAATTTACTTTTAACTTTACCCAACTTTTGGATTTAGAGGCTTACGTCTCCAAATGCTTTGCCTCACGAACAAAAAATGTCTCAATACCCAATTACACAATTTTAAACCTTGTAATAAAAAAAAAGTCAATTAAGCCAAGCTGACCACTCATACAAGATCTATTAATCCATAGGACAAGTTCAACAACCAAGCATTGAAATCAATGTTCACTCATAACGAAGCAAATTAAGAGTTTCTTTAGACTACTTCACTAATTGAAAGCTTGAATCAAAGGTACAAAGTGAATGCTTTGAAGTGGAAATGCCCTCTTGCCATTGAATGCCCTTTAATTTGGGGATGAGACAATGTTGAAGAAGATAAAAATTAAAGATGATGGGACAAGCTCTATCATTTAAATTGTTGAACCATATATAAGGGTGAAATCCTTGAATTGCCCTTCTGCAAGGGAATGCAAAGTCATTGGTAACACTGGCACTTGCACTGACTATGACAATCTTATTTGCACCTCTCGCTACGGATGAAAGCAGGATTTCTTTGCTTATGAATTTGATACTTTGACATCAAAGGTATTTGAATCGAATGCAATTAATACTTTGACATCGAAGGTATTTGTAACGAAGTTAATCCAAATTTCTCTAGACATTGGAAAGCAAAATCTCTTGACCTCCTTTCAAGTAATCTAAATAGGTGGTAGGAACTTCTGGACTCTCCAGGGAAAGAACTCAGAGACTTCATCCTCAAAGAGTGATAAACCTCATAGGAGGATGACTCGAAGAAGATTGAGATGCTTGAGGCCAAGAAAGTTGCCCTAATCTTGGATATAGGAAATTGATGTGACTTCTCCACAAGACATCTCAACTTAAGAGGCATTGCCTGAATTCACTACTTAATTACGGAATTACCCCTATTGGAAAACGTGTAGAAGTCGCACATGCTAGCTGAAGAGTTTTCTTTCTTAAAAACTCTTCCAAAGAAATTGTTGTGAAACTTCAAAGTAACAAGTTTAATCAATGTTCCAGGGTGGCGTGACTTAAAGTTACCGCATCTAGTGCTTGAGATAATTTGGGAAACATGGAGATGATAGGTCCTCTAGCTTTAATCAATAAATAAACTAAGACATTTTATGGCATTTATAAAATTCTTAAATCAAGTGCAAGGTCTTTCATATGTTTATGGTTTCTTGATCTAGTGTCATTTGTTTTATCCATCTTTTCATTATCTCCATCATCTTTATCATTTCCAGTTCTTTATTAGTCATTCTGTATCACAGCTGCCTTCTCATGATGTTTCTTTTTGAGTTTTAGCATCTTATAATTCATCAAAAATAATTCCTATTTATTCAGAGAACCAAGGAGAAATATATTATTAAACTTTGAACCATATATCATTTTCTTCATTATTGTTTGAGCATAAAAAGAAAATGTCATAAAGACAAATACTATGACTAACAGCCATTTTTTCAAAATGATTTATCTGAAAAAAGTAAGCATTGATGTACTTGTCACTAACGAACGATTACCTTGAACAGAAAAATGCTATATTACATCAAATGAGAATAATAATTCAAATTGGTTAATGTATGGATGGTTTAATGATCAAGAAAGCGAGAAGACTTACCCTCAATCCTAACAACGTAGCAACAGCACCTCCTAATGAATGCCCAACCAAACGAACTTTATACCCTTCACATTCACAACCAGGTCCCAGCAATGTAGAAAGAAACCCAGATGTTTCACATGCCATGTCTTCAATAGGACCATGCATTCCAAGTGAAAGAATCGTAAGTATTTAATGCATACTGCTAAAACTAAACATAAATTTTGATAAACTGCATTCTATTGCAAATATTCTTTTTCATTTTCCTTGTGGTAAAACAAATGCGTTTAATGAATATCAGCATCTCCTGTCATTATTTACAATATACTCCTGAAATATGAAACGAGAGATAAGAGAAGGAACATATAACGGTATGCTGGAGATTTAACGTCAAGGATTCAGGCTAGGCCATATGCTAGAAATAAATAAATGCAGATGCCAAATACACCTTGTGCATGACAAGAAATGATTTAACGTTCAAATTCAAGACATACTCAGGAAAACTACACCCAATAAGCAAGAAAAAAGGACTGAACATAACTGTATTCTAATAGAAAAAAATTAGCATATATGATTCTCACTTTTGAAACACTACTTGGTCACAAAACTCAATTTATTTAGGAGTTTATATATGCTACTTCTTCGTTTAAGGAAAACATGTACCAGATTTAATTTTCAAAAAAAAAATCAGCATAGAATTGAATAATGTAATCTGAGTGCAAGAGAGTAACAATGAAATAATCGGACTAAGAAAATTGTAGCAACAAAAGGAGGACAGAATATACCCTTCAGCTTAGGAGAAGAAAGGAGGCTGTCATGAATCCACAACATCAGTTAACAGTAATAATAGACGTTTAATGTGAAATGAAAGTATATGAGCTGTAGTCAGCTAGTTAGATAGTTTGTTGACATCTTGATTGTAACTCATTACAGTTGGTATATACAACTGCTTATTATAACAAGTAAGAAAATACTACAAAAAAATGATAGAAGGAATAATAAGCGTTTAATGTGTAATGAAAGTATATAAGCTGTAGTCAGTTAGCTTGATAGTGTAATTGATGGGGACATCAGGTCATGGAAAGTTTATCGTCGCCGAGGCCAGAGATCAGCGGCCGTGATTGAATCGATGTATATGTAGTTTGTTTTATTTGATCTTTTGGATTTGTGCTGTTTTATTTCCTATTTTACCCTCATGTGAGGGGATGTTATGTTTGGTGACCAAGGATATTTTGGTCTTGTTGTTTTTTCTTCTTTTTGGGCTTATATATATATGAGCCCTCATCCTTTGTAATTTGGCAATGAATGCTGAAAACGTTTTTACCTTTGGAGCTTAGTTTTTTCTTCTTTCTAAGTAGCTTGGTAAAGATTAGTTTAGTGGTGTGAGTGTGAAGTACCCAACAGCCCATTGGCTCTTGGTTTTTATCCTTGTTCCCAAGTCTCTCCATCTCCTTCCTAGCTCCCAACCGAACCCTTCCCCTACTCCCAGCCAGCGTTTCCAAACTCCTACAGCAGATTTCTGCTTGGAAACCTGCTGTCTGAAGCCTTCTAACCCCACCAACAGCCCTCCGTTTACCCTCCCTCCTAGTGCTAGTAACCAATCACCCAACATCCACTTTGGTGACCTTTCCTCTTCCAAAAACCACTGAAATTTCCCCTCCCAACAGCCAACAAAATTTTGTCTTTAGATCTTCCTCACTGAAAGTTGCAAAGTCACTTTGTGCCCCTTCGTATTCTTCAAAACCTTTTCCCAAAAGTTAATGAACTGTCTTTTAACTTTCCGAAAGCCCCTCTTCATTTTCATATTAAATAAAAACCACATAACCTTCAACCTCTCCCCAAAACTGCTGCCTACTTTTCCCAACAGTCACTAAACCACATTTTCCACTATATCCCCTTCCCAAAATAGCCGAAACTAATCCCCACTCCTTTCCCAGTCATTAGAAAACTCCACACTCCTCCATTAGACCCTCCACCATCACTTTAGCCTCCACTAACACTCCAAACAACATTCTCCCTTCCCAAAATAATTAAATCAGTGAACGTTGTCCTCCAAAGTCACCATAGAGGACTCCTTTCAGAGATTCAGCAAAAGTCATTGTAAACCAAGGGAGTTATTGGCCTCTTCGTCAACACTTTGTTCAACGTTCAAGCAAGATAAGTGTCTTACATCTTCTCTTATTTACTGTTTAGCCTAGATATCTTATTCTCCCCTCCGAAGTAGCATCAAACAAGTGTAGCAATTAATCTGCTTAGTCTATTTTCTTAATCAAGAGATTCAGACTTCATTTGCAACTAATCCTAAATTAAAAGTGGGACTCTAGCCACCCATGTTCTCAAAGTTTTTTTTAATTACTTTACTCCTTTAAAATTGTGAATGTCGTTACTAGCCAAGTTTCTTGTTTTGCATAGTTGCGTTGCCTAAATTTCTTGTCTTGATAAATTTCCTTGGAGTTTTAATTTGCTGTGTTCATTTATTTCCAAGAATAAATCTCTACATGCATGATCAATTTACTTTGTCCTACATCAGTAATACTAAAAAATTTCAGATAAAAATGCAAAAAATTTCTTCAGTATACCCAAAATATTAACTTCTATGAAAACTTCCAAGAAAATTATTGTGACAACCGGTTCTTCCGGCCGGTTCAACCGAACCGGCCGGCTCACCCTTTTAATACCGCGGAACAAGCAGTTCGCGCGAACAGAGAAGGGCGGACGGTCGCAGGAGTTCACCCCCTTATGGTACTGGTTGGGGATGTTGTACTCGTGCACGAAAAAGGAAAAAGGAAAAGGTTATGGAAATGGAAAAGGTTATGGAAATGGAAAAGGTAATCAAATGGAAAAGGTTGTACCTTAGGGTACTTTGAGACGGTGCTCCTGTGCAAAGCAAATGGAAAGAAAAGAAATATGAATGAAATATTAAAGCTATAAAATGTTTTAAATTGTTTTGAAAGAAATTATCTAGAGATGTAAATTATTGAAAAGAATGAATTAATGTAAAGAAATAACACGATGTCTATTAAAGAATAATAATAATGATTATTAAATAGTTACCCACTGAGTTTACTTAGTAAACTCAAACCACGAGTTTAAATGTTTCAGATAAGTTTCTAAAGAAGTAATGGCTGAAAGAGAAGAACATGTTTACAGAAGACGAGGTGCAAATGACAACAGGTAAAATAGTTTTTTTTTTGTGTTTAGTGGCTCTTCAGTTTATAGAAAAGTTTTGATGATGAGATATTTTACACTTTTGGAAATGTACTATCGTCCGACTTTTCATACCCGCCTCGTTAGATCGAGCATCCGGGACGGGTCATGACAATTATTTTTCTTAAAAATTTAAATTATAATTACTTTTATAATTATGATTTAATAAAGTGTTAACAGTTAATTACAGTTAGTTAATAAATTATTGTTCTGTTAAATACTGCTAATACTTACTGTTAATTATTAACTTTTAATTTCTGTTCTGTTAATAATTTACAGTTAATTAGTTAATTTCTGTTAACAAATTACTGTTTTGTTAATAAAACCTTAACACTAATTACATTAAGTTAAAATACTGTTAAGCAAATACTAATATTCTGTTAATTAAGGTATAGTTAAATCCCTGTAGCACAGTACTAAGGTTAAATTAATACCATTAAATGGCACTAAGCATTCCACTAATAATAGCATGCAGTGGCTGATGTCAATCAAAGTGCTGGGAAGCTTTTTTAGCCTAAGTGTTATATAGTAATCTAGCTGTTGCTCCCGTGTTTTGGTCTCCCATTCGATAGTGCTTAAGTTGGAAGCAGTTGCTTGAGGGTTCTGTGTACAGAAGGGAGTGGAAACAGAGGGTTCTTCAGGCATTGCTGGGAACGGCTGGGAGTTGGAGCGGGTAAGACACAGAACAAGGGTTTTGATGTGAAGGTATGGAGAATAAATAAGGAGTTGAGGGAAAGGAACAAACCGAGGTAAGCATTTTGGTTTTATTACAATTGTTTTATAGAGTTCCAAATAATGATTAAGAAAATCCCTAAAGGAGATTATGCCCAAATGTAGGAATTTAACTGGTATATGAGGGGAGAATCTAGTTGCGAGATAAATTGTTAAATAGGATGAATTGATTTTATTTAATTCCTTGATAAATGAATTGTAGAAATTATGGAAAGAAGAAAATTTGGATTCGGTAGGTAATTTACAAGCCGAAAAATGTACGAGATGTTGAATTCAATGAGGCAACTCGGCGTGGGGGTAAGAACTGTCATGTTATTTAAACAGCAAATGTTATCATTTTTAGGCCTATACAGTTTCATTTAACCAAAATGAAGGGTAAAAAGGCATTAAATTTACTTCTATTTGATTGAGTGCATTTACATTCAAATAGTCAAGTATGAACGACCATGTGCAAAAAAAAATGAACGACCATGTGCAAAAAAAAAAATGAACGATCATGTGCAAATTTTAATAGTTGCTTAAAATAAGGCATTATATGATTATAAAAATGTTTTCCTAATTGGCAATATTTTGTAATGTAATGTACTAAATTATGTACTACTGTAGTATTCTTCTTATGCAAGCATTCTATTAAGTATGTCTTTTCTATAAGTCATAAAGCATGTACAAATCAGTCAATTATTAAATCCAAAAAAATTTGAAGCCCGATAAATATCATATTAATTGATGGTTAGTAATGAGATGTTATAATACTTGCGCAGGAGAGGCAAAAGAGATCCCGTGGGGCAAAAAGAGACCCTGATAGAGACAAATTGGAACTCAATATAGTTTAATAACAATAGTTTTGGGTTCTACCTGTGCTCCATTGAAAGTTATTATGAAACTATAAAAGTTAACTTTATGTTTTATATATATATGTCAAAATCCAGCCTTTCAAGAGCAAACCAACCCAATGGCTACAGTGCTCAATCCGTGGGATGCAGGACTCACGCCAGAACTCTTTCCATATTCGAGCTGCTAATTTAGGAAGGATTATATTAGAATTATTTTGTAATTAGTTGTTTCCATATTAAGGTATCTTGTATAGATCTATACATTGAGGAGAAATCATGTAATAAAGCAAGCTTTTCTTCTCAAACTTCTGATTTCTAGCATGGTATCAGAGCCAACGGCCTTCATTGTGGTTGTAAAACGATCATAGATCATCGGAGAAGGAAAAGAAGAAGAAAGTGAAGCATTGCCGCGGACGGATACCGCAGATAGAGCCCCACCTGCCAACGGAAGCTTGCAGACAGACGTCGAAGCGGAGCATTGCGGAAGACAATAGAAGCCCTAGCCGACCAATGGTATCCCGATCCAAACGTCGTAACTTCAGATCCAACAGGAAGGGCAATTCATTGAAGGAGCATAGTCAAACAGCAACGAACGAGCCGAAGAAGCGACCTGCAAAGCAACAAAGCCGAACAACAATGAAGGAGAAAACTAGGCTCGACGTGCCCTAGCTACCCAGTCCGAGTCTTTTAAAGACTCGGCTCGGCCAGGTTAAGTAAATCGGGATGTCATTTCTAAAAAAAAAACTCCTTTTCGACCTTTATTTGTCGAACAGGAAAAGTCATACATATAGTCTTAATCAATGTTTAAAATTGCGTATTCGGGTATTGAGGCGTTTTTCATTCGTGAGGCGAGGCGTAAGTCTCAAGGCGTTTTGAGGCGTAAGCCTCAAAATAAAAAAATTGCGTAAACATAAAATGATAATTTTTTTAAATACCAATGAGTGAATAATATAAAATATAAAATAGCTTAAGATATAAAGTGAAATCAAAATATCCCAATAATTAGACAACATGAAATATAGTTCAACTCAAAATTCTATCTTTCCCAAATCCCAGTATTCTTTTCATTAACATATAATTCTTCTCCAAAGCTCGTGATCCAGCTCAAATCTTTAAAATTAAAGTCAAAGTTGGAAGCATAAAGCAAAGGAGTAAAATCATGATGGAGTATGCCACCCTTCTACAAAATCTATGGCAAGAACTTGATCACTACAGATGCATAGAAATCAGATGTCTGGAAGATGCTGCGATCCTAAAGAACTTTATTGAAAAAAAAAGAGTTTATGATTTCCTTGCAGGACTAAATGCAGAATTTGATTAGGTTAGAGTCCAGATCCCCAACAAAGAGGATACGCCATCACTTAATGAAACTATTTCTCTCATCCACACGGAAGAAAGCCGACGATAAGTAATGTTAAAATCAAAAGTCGTTGAAAATTTAGTAATGGTGATGAATAAAGATTCATCATGGAAGGAGAAAGGTAAAGATTCCTCAAAATTCAAAGACAAAGACTCACTTTGGTGCAGTTATTGCAAGAAGTCAAGCCACACAAAAAAACGTGCTGGAAAATATATGGAAAACTCTCCAGTAAGGAGTGGAATCAAAGAACTGAAACAAGGAGCATGTCGCATGCCAACAACACTATAAGTCAACCCAACCCAGAAGCATAGTCTAGCCTTAGAGAACTCAATAAAGAATATATTGATAAACTGAAACGACTTCTGATATCTCTTGAAAAATCAAATGCATCTTCTTTACATGCATTCTCAGGTAAGTTTTTAATTTATATTAGTTTAAGTGTCTCTAGAAATCATTTAAAAGAATTAAGGATCATTGATTCAGGAGCCACAGAACACATGACCCACTCACCTACCCACTTCATCAACTATACTCCTTGCCCCAACAACAAGAAAATCATCACTACTGGTTGGTTCTCTTATCACAATAGCAGACCAAGGAGACAACATTATCTCCCTCACTCATCCTGAAAAATGTGATCCACGTACCTCAATTATCCACAAGCCTAATATCAATAAAAAAACTTACCAATGACCATAATTGTCAAGCTTTATTTAACCCTACTTATTGCTTATTTCAAAACCAGAGATTGGGGAAGAAGATTGGACTTGCTAAAGAGAAAGCAAGACCTTACTACATGGAAGAACTAAACTAATCTAAAAATAGCTGCTCTATGTTATCCTTAGTTGATAAGATTCCACTATTTGGCTTCATCATTATAGGTTAGGACACCCATCTTTTAATGACCTAAGACATATGTATCCACAACTTTTTTAGAAATTAAAAAATAAAGATTTTCATTATGAAACATGTGAGTTAGCTAAATATAAAAGAACCTCCTTCACAAATAAAAATGAGAGATGTGATATTCTTTTCTACCTTATTCATAGTAATATATGAGGACCCTAAAAAATCCACAATATCTCGGGGGCATGCTGGTTTGTCATTCATTCATGATTTCACTAGAATCTCTTGGATCTATCTCCTCAAAAATAAATCTTCATTCTTCCTATTTTGCATACCATGATTAAAAATTAATTTTGGGTAAAAATAAGGAGATTTCACTTTGATAATGCTAACGACTATTTCAACCAACTCATCCTACTTCCAAAGTGAATGGATCATCCATGAGTCCTCTTGTGTCCATACCCCACAACAAAATGAGGTTGTAGAGAGAAAAAATGGTCACCTTCTAGCTTCTACCCGAGCTTTCCTCAGAAAGAGATGCCATTTGGGAGAAAGAAGAAGAAATGAAAGCTCAATATCCCTACCTATTCAATTAATATATGTCACTTATACTTCATTTTAAATTTTGAGGACGAAATTTTTATAGGGGAGATTATAAGCACCGGTTCATCCGACCGGTTCAATTTGAGAAAAATAAAAGAGAAAGAATATACAGTTTATGCATATCAATGTCAAATATGTTTTCTTTATTTTCTCAAATTCTTCTGAATGAAAATTTCATGCTTAATATCATGTTTTAAATTATTTCATGAATTTATTATAAATACCTGTTATTTGCTGAGTGTTAGCTCACCCTGCTTTTGTAAACATTTTTCAGGAGAATCTACTAGAGAGATGGCTGAAAGACAATTTATCTTCCGTCATAGAGGATCCCAGGATGTCAGGCTTTTATGATTATGTTATGTAATATGTCCGATGATGTATTGTGCACTACTGTGATGTTTTCAGCTTATGTTTTAAATAATTTTATGTTTTGATGTATCAGGGATATTTCAGTTTGAATATTTAGTGGCTCTTTCTTATATTGTTCTTGGATGATATTTATGTTCATGTCATTTGTGAAATAATTTTTTTATGATATGAAAGTTATAAGTGTTCTCCGTACGACCATATGTTCCCGCCCCGTTAATTCGAGCTAACTGGGTCGGGTCGTGACACAACCACATTTGAAAGTTCAAACCATCAATGAAATTCACTTCTAGAACTTGGCTACAATCACTTCCTGACACTTGAATCAAAAAATCAAATGAAAATTACATGAAAGTGTCCCTTTGGAGAAGAGGACTCAGCATTTATTAAATGGTTGTGCAAGCAAAATAGAGACGCCTATCAAATATAAAATCCAATTGAGCAACATATAATGCTAACCTCCTGGTGGACCATCAACTTGCATGTACAGCTCACGAGAAGATTCAACTATCCCGGAATGGCCATAATGTGGGAAAGAAGAGACAACAGTTTCCCTCACACTTGGATGTAATTGATCGCAGCTACAAAATGAAAATTTTGTTACTTCAGAAATCACAAACTGAAAAGGCTACGATCATAAGCACTTACATGAAGGATTAATATTTATTATAGTCAGTAATGAACATGAGATGTGCAGTTTAATCATGTAGAAACAGAAATATAATGCTTTCACAATTGAATTGAAAGGCTGTTGTAA